TGCCAGGTAGGTTTAGCTCAAACCGCCAAAATGCCAAACGGTGTAGCCCAAAAGTAGCCAAATGCAAAAAATTTGTATAGCCAAAAAGTAGCCAAAATCCAGCTGAGTGTCAGGGTCCACAAAATTCAAAATTATGCTCTCGCAAGTAGGAACTGGAGCCGGAACTGCATCTGCATATATTGTGTAGAAGAAGCTTTATAAGAACAGCAACATCTTTAAATGTATATGAGACATTTTATTGGAAAAACACACACAAAAAAGTATCGGCATTTTTAAGTATTGACACACGTTTGTACAGTCACATAGAGTTAACAATCGCTCGTGCAGGGCTGGCTGACCTCATACATCAGTTACGAGTTGAAGCGCACAAAAAATTCTTCTGTGGGCTTGAAGTCCTTGCAGCACTCTTTCTTCCCAAGGAATGCGAACTTCACAAACAGGATGCTTTCCAGGGTCGAATGGGACATTCTGTTTCTGAGGTCCGACTTCGTGAGGGACACCTAACTAAGCACCCTCTCAACGGCGGCATTTGACAAGGGTAGTGTCAAAAGCGCGGTGCCAAGCGCAGAGAGCAACGGGAACATGGCTGCCCCGGAGCTGTTCCTTGCCTCCCTTACATTTTTCCAAGATAGCTCTAAACAATCATCAGACAGATCTCTGATATTCGTCTGGAGAAGCCTGTACTCGGACTCCATGGCCGAGATCACCGAAGTCTGTATAAAAGGCGAAAACGCTTTGTAAAAACTGTCAAAAGAAAACTGTGTGATGCTGCCATGCTTGAGAAACAACAAATCGTTGAGAAGCTGCATGATCGCAGGGAGGCGTTTCATCACACTTTTGATACACGCAATCACAAACCTCCGACATACTTCCAAGAGCGCAATTCTGTCCTTCTCGCAAAGCGAGGACTGTTCAAGAGTATTCAGAAAAACACTTCCGAAGCCACATGCACGTACATGAAGCACATTCGTTTCCCAGTCCGCGCATTCGGGTGGTGCGTAATTCGGCATGATTACTCGTTTCATCAATATCGAAGAGTTGCCCTTGCACGGCTTTGACCTAGATGTAGCCTCCCAATCCACCTTTTTCCTAGGAAATGGTAGGGTGATGAAAAGAAAGGTCAGGGAGGAGGATGCAGGGGCAAGGTCCTTCTTTGTGTGAACTTGGAGGCATAAGATAAGCGACAATGAATACAGAAGCGATGCCATTAGAACTGAATCTAGGTCCTGACGTCATGCCTACGCATCTTCACAGAAAACCCTGAAAGCAGGAATCCGTAAAAAATGGACTGTTGATTTGTGTCCATCCTAAAGTGTCTTTTATCTCTCTACCCTAAAGCAAGCACAAGAAAAATAAATAATAGACACCTCTGTGTCTTCGTGTCCCCTTATATTGCCCGCAGTCTCAATGTTTGTCATGTTGAATTATTTTTCTCCGTCATGATTTGAAATAGCCCAAAAATAGCCACATAGCCAACCGCCACATTTTGACGCCAAATAAAAAAAGAAGTAGCCCAATTTGGCTATTAATAGCCCAATCTGGTAACCCTGATGGCAGCTGTTGCCTTTGAATTGGACGGTGACATGCGCCACCTACTGTAAAAGGTATTTTTAGCTCCAGACTAAATACAGGACGACGACAGGCGGACGGAGGACGAACAGTCACGACAGCGGAGTGAGTCACAGTAAACCGTTCTCAAGATGCGCGCTGTCTTGGGGAGCGTGCGAAGCACGTCCCCGATCGGGCGCATCAATAAATACTGGAATCTGCGTATTCTGACGTTTTCTTCATAGTCCCCGGCTGAAATAGTAACTCAAATATTGGGCCAAAAATATTGTTTTTTTTGCAGTTATTTAATTTACAATTTTCTTCTTCACTGTGCTTTTCGAAGTGAAAATCTCTAATGGCAACAATGAAAAAAGTGACGTCGGCGGCAGGCAGGGGTTCACTCTTCTGGCGGGAACTTTGTTCCCAACTGATTGCAAGCAGTTTCATGATGTCAAATGAATGTTTTGGAAACTTGCTTCAGTACCCGCGCAGCAGCACGAAACAAATGCTCGACATAGTCCACTTTTAGAGTGCCCGCTAGATCTGCAATCCTGCTTTCCACTAAAATCACCGCACTGAGAAGCGCGGGTGTATTTGAATATTGGTTTTGGCATTATTTTCACTTGCCGATTTCGGAATAGCTATTCTGAATTTCGAGATTCTAAGCATATTGGAAAGGGTAAAGGTCGGGTGATTCCGAGAATATAGTTAATTGGGGTAGCTCCAAAAATCGACAGAGTACCCCTTTAAGCCAATGTAATAAGGTTTAACCTCTATCTGTCTCTTGATTTTTGTCACACTTCCTCTAATCTTCTTTTAGTGAGCCCTTCTTCAAAGCGTTTTGTTTCAGCGTACACACTGAATCCCAAACCCCTGAGGAAGTCAGCCTCTTCGCGTGATGTCCTTGGGTGGCCGAGCCTGTTACATTCCTTAATGACACGCTCTGGCGTTTTGCTTTCCTCCCCGCATGTAATGCACGCTGTATCTATATCTTGGTATTTGACCCTGTGCGGCCTGGTTCTCCAAACCCCTGTCCTAGCTTATACCAATTACGCACTTTTTCTGAAGTTATCAAATATTTCCTCCTTTTTTTTAATGCCCGTTTTATTGGCCCTGTACCTTTCTAAAGCTGGTTTCTTTGGCCATTCTTGTGTCTCACACTTCTCTCTTCCTTTTCTTTATAATATTCTTCAGTGTTCCTGTCTGTACGTCTTCCATGGTGTTACACCAGTACTTTGACGCGAGTCTTCGGGTTTGTTTCCTCCAACCTGTGTCTTCCGGTCATATCTAGGTACCTGAATATTCTGCCTGCCTTTTTTTCTTCATCCATTTCTCCGAGCTGGTCCTAGAACTCTAGCCTGTTACTTGCCTCCCTTGCCTCGAACGAAGACCAACCCATATCTCCCTGCACGCCATCATTAGGGCTTTTTCCGTGGTCCCCAGAGTCAGCCCGCCTATGCCACGCTGCTTGACGTCCAGTCTTGACCAGTGGCGTAGCCAGGAATTTTTTGGGGGGCGGGGGGGGGGGGGGGGGGGGGGCTGGGATGTCCATGACGGGTGCGGAGGGGGTGAAGGGGGGGAAACTGAAGCCCCATAAGCACCCCCCCTCCCCCCTGCGCTACTCCCTTGGTCTTGGCTGTACTCCTGGCGTCATGCACGAGACAGCATTTCCAAATGTCACACCGCGCAACATAACCCCTCCAGACACCCCTTACTACCTGGGAGACAAGCTGATGAAAGCGCCCCTTGTAACTCGATCTCATCGCTATAGGAAGGAAAACGAGAAGCGTTCACGCCCTCCACACCAGAACGGCAGTCACGTGATCTGATGCTGATTATATGCCTGTAAAGTTTATCATAGACGCGCTGGAGCAGCTGGGGTTGGAAACACTTGTGGCATCATGTGTTGTGTTCCGGGATCCACGCGTCCATCGCCACGACTGTCAGCCTGCTTTCGGGAAGGAGGCACCGAAACAAATAGTCCGCGCCTCTATATCTGATTCTGAAACAGACAATCTTCTGGCAGTGTTGAGCGCCACATATGGCGTTGTATGCGTACCTACAGTCCGCAACATTCAAATCGAATAATGTTGTAGTGTTCATACAAGTGCTATGCCTACTACGTTTTTGATCAAATATAATCTGAAGAAAACAAATGATTTTATAAAAAGGAGACATCTAACCAAATGGTACTCAAACTTTACGTTAAAAATACTTTACTCCTGAAAAAAAACAAAAAAAAAAAACAAAAAAAAAAAAAACAACAACAAAGCCTCCGTGTATTTACACAGAGTGCTTGCGGGCAGAAAAGTTCATTTTTATACAGGGCCAGTTTGTGATTTTAATGTACGAGAAGTAAAAAGGTGTCAAAGGTCATTGCCCTCCAAAAGGCCGTTGTACTCTACACGTAAGGTCTCTGTTATTAAGAGAAAAAAATCCATAAAACGCACTTCCCCTCTTGCACCACCATTTAAGGTCAAGAATTCACAATTTTGTGTCGCTACTGCTGCAGGTCAAGTCCGACAAGCCCTTGTGGCTTAGACAAACCCGCTGCAGTGTTATTTGCATTTCCTGATATAAACTATTCTCGTTTTTCTTTCCTTTTTGTTATTTTATTAATCGATCGACTTATCATAATAATAAGTTAGCGCGTATCACTAAATAGAGGGAGCCAAACGATGTTGTCTATTTCTGCCGCTTGCCAGAGCTTTCTCGTTGCGCATAATTAGAAGCAGCGCACTTCGAAACCACCCTACACCTCTCATATTTTCCAAACATTCACCTCATCTAAACACAGCATTCCCACGAACGAGCACTTCGGAGAACCGTAAACGCGCTCCGTAAACGCGCGCGCGCTTTTTTCCGCGCACAAACAAAGCGCTGACTCACTATACCCCGAGCTGTCTACCATTTTCGAACGGCACCGAAACGGAGCAAGCAAACATGGCCCGAGAAACTTAGTTTCGCCTCGTGTTTGCAATAACGCATTCGGCGAGGGCAACCCCTCTGCTCCGTTCCCCGCTAGGTTGACACCATAGGGTGGAGGCCGCGTGCTCGTTGGACCAGTCGTACGAATATATTTTACCACGTGATCGCGTCCCTTCCCGTAGCCACGCGCGGAGGGAGAGTGGGGTCAGGTGACTAAAGGGGGACGGTTGATTGGTCCGGCGAGGGCGTAGTTCCCACCGCACTGTCAGCTGAGTTGTGGACCGAAGCCCGCTCCCGCGGCGCGGCGGCAGCGACCCGATGGAGAAAAGAGGCCCGGGGCTTCTCGGAGCCCAAACCCTCGGTGTCGGCAGTGGGCCAAACAAACCGTCGAGGCCTCTCCTGCTCGTCCTCCCCAGTGGCGAATGAAGAAGTGGGGGAGGAGGGAAACCGGGTCGAGACTCGGCGAAGGGTTTTTTAGCGAGAGGAAGGAGGGGTGCCACTCCTTGCACCCACTGATCCCCTGGCCTCGTTTGCGCGGCACCGCTACTGCTGACCGTCGGGACCCTCTTCTCGGGGCTTCTGCAAGTGCGCGAGCTCGGGGACGTCGTGCGAGTCTGAGGCCGAGTCTGAACCGCGACAGGTATTAGCCGGCGGTGAGGTGTGCGCGCGCGGTGACGGTCAGGTGCCTGTGCATCGGGATTATCCGATCGACTAGGTGAGTGCTTTTAATCCGCTGTCTGCGTCCCACTTACGATCGGCGCCAGAAAAGAAGAAAAAAAAAGAAGATAAAGCTACCCTATCGAGACAACATTTAAAAAAAAAATATATTTATGATGTGTTTAATATTTATTTGAGAACTCATAAAAATATATATAAACCGTCAGCAATGTTATTTACATTCTTCTGATACCTTCTTGTTGCACGTTTAGTCGATATATTTGTAGAACTGGTTTCACTAGGGTAATAAAAGAGAGGTTTCGAGGCTTGTGCCGGGAGTGCAACTCGGTCGTTCTAGAGTCACTCGCAGACAGCTCAAGAAGCCCAGAGCTTGGCGTGTCTGTAGCATCTCATTATGGCTTCTCGGCCAATGAGATTGCGGCATTAAAGCGCCGAAGCACAAATCAGGAAGCAACAAGTGCGTGCAAGCCACGCCCCGAGTCTCTTAGGCTGTCGGGGATAAGTGACCTCGCGGAGTGAAGCTGTCCCATCGTGGACACTCGTGGTGCAGGGATCGCCCATCGATCGAGGGTGACACGTGCTCTGTCGGTGCTCAGGTTAGCTGTCCGAATACATCGAGTGGCGGAATTATATGTCCCACTCGGGAGGCGTTGCAAGCTAGCGTGTATCGCTAGTGTCGCATCTGTGCGGGCCACGTATGGCCTTAGCGATGTCGTAACGTATGACAGTCGCCGCGTGGGTGATGCTATAAAAAGGCCCGGCGGATTATGTGGTCTGTTCCTTCCCCACTTGGCGCTTTGAGTCGCAAAATACCACCGGCAGGAGTTAGACCAGTGTCTTCCCATTTCCCCAATGCGCATAATTTTCTCTTTAATTAGCTGAACTGATATGTGGGTAATGGATACTGTTCAGAAAGGAAAGTAAATGCTATTTATCGTTCAGTAAATTTGATGCAGCTGGTAATTAATTCAAATGCGAGTCTTTATCTCAGTATGCAATGTTGCGCTTGTTATTACATAGCTCAACGTTTGTATCGAGACCTTCAATTTTATTTGCGCATAAAAAACCTGCAAAAAACTGAAAGGTTGTGCCAGTCCGTGTCGCGCAAGTTCTTATTTTCACCCGTGTGTATAGTTGGTGCAGTTTTGATAATTTAATTTAATTGGGACCAACCAGCCCGAACCAAAAATTCCGATGCTTTGAGGGAAAATAACATTCGGTTTTGTCGTGTAAAGAATCACCTATATATTTGTGCTTTGGGAAGATCGACGTGGCGCGTTTCAAGTGACTCGTAAATCGGTACCGCCGTTAGCTCCAAACACCTCGTCAACCCTGTCAAGGCCGGTTCACACACTTGCGACTGCTTACGCCCGGAGAGGCTCAGAAACCGGCTGCCGGTGCGCTCGGTTGCAACCAAACGCAAGTGTGTGGGCCAGCCTTTACCCGCACACCTGCATGCACTCGGTGTTCCATGATTATATCGCCATCAGATCCGTATCGACGAGTTTCCTGAACGGGCCGCGCTTACGGATATTTTGCCTTATATAGGCTTCCGACGCGCAATTTGTACCGCTTACATTTTATGCTGAAACATCGTTTCTTGTACACGTGCGTGGTAGCAGTACTCCTACAGTCATCGATAGAAACGCGGCGCTTATTATGTTCATGCTTTGTGACGCGGCTTATCGGCTACTCCAGCCATATGGCTTTGGCTGCGAAGCGATAATAAGAGGGACTAATAAGAGGGACGCGCCACGCCCTGCCTTTCCCAAGCTGTCAGCGACGATGTGATATGTCGAACGTTGAACGAACACAGATACGTGCATATAAAATAACACGAAAGAAAAGGAAAATATAGGAGCGCGGTAGGCAGGGCCTGAGGTTTCAATGCGTAGACCTAGTCGTCTGCTTCTAGCACAGGAGTGGCGGTGACGTCAGAACGACGCCGCGCTCTGATTGGCTTTGATGGAAAGCATAGTGGGTAGACCTCTATGCTAGATGCATTAAGATCTACCCTCTACTTTTTTTTTCAATCAGTCAATAAGAGCTTGGAGTTCTAACATCATTACAACCCCTATGCAAGAAGCGGACGAATTCTAGCTAGCGCTGCGCATCCCCTCATTTAGGCGCGACATTTGTTTTTGTTTTTGCGTGTATTCTTGTGCTCATGAATTGCGTCATTTCGTAAGAAACAAGATACGAAGTAGAATGATAGTCAGTCATGCCAGCTTTGAGAAAAAAAAATATTTGACTCGAATATTTGGGATGTATTTGCGTGCTTCGCATTGTTTACCTATTTTCACTCCCACGTGTATACCGATCGTTCGCCACCGGAATGTCCGACGTCAAGGTAAGGCGGGGCGAGATGGGACATGAGGGAAAATGCGACATTCTTGAGTTCAGCGCCATCTGTACGCGAATCTTGCGACGCGATTAACTTCATACTTTGCCGACATGTGCCAGCACTTGTCCGCTTTATCTTATAGGGAGGCTCTAGTTAGGGTGGGCGCAACTCAAACCCTGGCGAGCGTCTGCAATTTAATGGCGGCGCCGGAGGAAGAGGCTGTGGAAAGGATATGCGCCAGTGTTGCCTGCACGCGAGCAGACGCCCCCTCTGTTGCAACCCTGTTGCCCCATGTGCCTTTCCTCCTCTCGCCTCCCATTGCAAGCAACGAACGCCTTGGGCATAGCCTCTCTCGCTTCCTTCTCGCTCCGGGAATTGTAAACATCGGGAGGGGAAAGGGTTGCCAGACGAGCAGCAACGTCCAAGATGGCGGAATTTACCATTTTTCGCGTTATACAAATACTTAACATATCGGAACAAAACTGGTGGCTATAGAAAACTAATCACTTATACCTTGCGTAAACTATTCAAGCACATTAATAGGCTCTTATGACTTGAAATAAAACGATCCCTCGCCCTGTAGACTCCCAGCGAATTTTAGCAATTAAATGACGTCCATGTACCATGATCCCCGATCTAGCAGTTGCGCCCAACCTAACTAGAGCCTCCCTATTATTTTATAAAGCCTCTTCTACTAATGGTGGAAGGGCACTGACAAAAACAAAATAAAAAAGCGCAGTTATTGTTTCATGGTTCAAGATGTGGCGAAATTCTGCACTTGCACTCTACTGGAAGCGTGCAGTTGAGTTTAGAAAAGCTAATGAACCGAAATAAACGCTTACTTAAATTTCTCTGTTTCGTTGGCTAACTGTGGATAAAATTTCATCGCTCCAGGTTTTGACTGTTATGGTCATCAAATTGTTTCAATGAAAGTATATGTAAGGTGCATGAACGCTTTTATCGCTATCAACGGACAAAAACTGAGATTTAAAGGGTTCAGTGTTTGCTCTCGGGCCATATTTTGTTCTTCTTATCGTCTAAAGGATGATCCGGACGTACAAAGCAAAAACAGACAGGGCTTCATGGTGCGAGATTGACGCGGAGAAAGCACTTGAAAGCGTGTGTCACCTGCAGCGTCAGCCCATTTACGCTGCATCAAACGTCTTCGGGGTACCTTAGAGGGCGCACCAAAGGCGTGCGGGGAAACTCAACGAATTTAAAGAGCAAGTACTTTATAAAAGTAAGTTAGGATTCAAACGACGAGTTTATTCCGAGCAACAAGGAAAATATCTCGTCGAGCATATTATATAAAGAAATGCTTTTTTTTTTTTTTTTTGGAGGGGGGCTTACGTACAAGGATATGTGAATGATATAATTTACTTTGAAACAAATGAACCCGAGAAGTATGATCAGGGTGAAGGGGGTAGTCAGCACACTATTCGGTCACTGAATAGGCCGGTAAAGCGGAATTCGCGTTCTGCAAACCGCGTGACGAGCGCCAATAAGGACAGTGACAGGTGTGTACGACACTATGAAGCGAAGAAGCGTCCCGTTCTGCGTGAATTCAATGCACGGCGTGCAAAGAGTGGGCTCACGAGGATGGCGTAGGGGTCCAGGAATCATACTTTAAACGTTGCAAATGAAAAAGAACTCAGATGTCTCCTACTGTTTTATTTTTTTTTTTTAAGAGAAGGTGTTCAATTCTGCAGCACAGCTATGTCGTTTTACCCCGGGGATCGGGGGCAAAATGAGACATTTGTGCCTTTTTATTATCAATAAATATTTTGTATTTCTACTAACTCAATTCTAGTCATTCCAACTGACCTAAATGCCAAGACTAAGAAAATATATTTGTTCATACAGTTCTTTTATAATTGGCAGTAAAAAAAACAAAAAAAAACTGCATCGATCTGGAAATTTTGTTCACTTTGCCTCGCTTTACCTTATTTATAGAACAACTTGCGTTTTCAAATTTACGACCAATTTGTTCAAACGGTTACGAGTGTTTGACTCATCTTGTTTTTCGGAGGATGTTACCAATATTAAATGCCAGAATATTCACTCTTTGTTGCTTATTGATTTCGTTTTACTTAGTGTAAACAGAAGAGACGCTCAGTTATTTAAAAATAATATAGAAATCAACGGAACACAATATATTCACTTTAACAAAAGGAGTTTTCTTAGAGAAAGAACACACACACGCACGCATACACATGCAGAATCTATGCATCGGCAAAAAATAATAATAATATCGCCTTATCCCAAGGAATAAAATTCAGAATACCAAGCAGGCCCAGATGCCTGAATAAATTTTGAAACAACTTCTTTGCCCCGCTCTGCCGCCATGTCACTACCATGTGTGCATTATACCTCAATGGGAATTGTTTATCCTCTTAGTGTTCCCTAAATTTTCAAGGCATTATAGAGAGAGAGAGAGAGAGAAAGGGAGGGCGAGATAAAAAAATGTACAATAACAAAATACAAATTACAAATTAGGCACTGTCAACAAGAACATAATTATAAAAGGTCAAAGTTCGTGATTATGGCGATGGCCCGGGGAAAGTGGTTCCAGTCTTGGAATGTACCCTCGCGGGAGTCAAAATACGAATGAAACATTGTCGTCGTCGAGCTTTCGTATTGCTTTGCTTTTCTACGGGAGCCCAAAACAAATCAAATAGTTTTAACATTCACCG